ATAGGCAAATTCATAGAGACAGAGAGTAGATTGGTATTTATCAGGGATTTAAGGGAAGAGGAAATTGGAACCTTGCTTTTCTGCTTGAAGTGATGAAAAATTTTGGAAGTAGATAGCGGTGATGGACACACATCATGGTGAATGAAAGTAATGCCACTGAATTGTACATTTTTAAATGGTACATTTTATCTTGTATATATTTTACCACATTAAAAATTTTTAAAAATGTAAAAAAAAAATACAATTTCAAGTAAGTATCATAACAGAACTAACGTGAGTCAGTGTTATCAAGTACCAATCAATATAACCCAAAGAAAGAGACCTAGATATCACAAACTAAATTACAATTATTGATTTCACTGTCTCAAACTGATTAGCAAGTAACTAATGGTGGTGGAAACCATTGTTGTGGAAAAAAGAATTACACCCAAGAAATTTAGTCATAGGAAAAAAATTTCCAATTTTATTGTCAATATTTCCTTTTCAAAATATCATATGAAAACTAAAATAGAACAGCAGCATATGAAATCTGAGTTTCAGTATTTTACACTGTATGTTAACTATACTCAACTATACACTTTAGCATAAAATTAGCTTTATACAAAGAAAAAAATTAAACCTGAGACAAAATTAAAAATTTCAAAAATCATTATGTTATAAAATAACAGTGTACAACTTATAGTTGATTTCAGTGTCAAAAGTGATACTGGTTTCATTAGATATACTTCATACAAATAAAACTGGTATTTATAATGTAAAAATATAATACATCCTTTTGATTCTGAAATTATTTTGTTAATGTCTATGCTTATTAGTTATCTTAAGACAATGAGAAACTAAAGTTACCTGTCACAGAAACAATATTAAGTAATCTTCTCATGGTCTGAGGACTTATGTCACTGAACCAGTCCTCGGTAACCAACAATTTCGTAAGATCAAAGGACATCTGCCGAGTAATTGTCCGTTGTATCTGTCTTCTTCGGTAAGTATCCTGAAACAATATATATTATAAAAGAATATACAATATATAAAAGAATATATAATATAAAAGAATGAACCCATATTTACAGTCTAAGATCTTAATGCTTTTTAAGAAGTTAATATATTTTGCAACCATAAAAAGAATGTGAACTTTTAATCAGAATATATAGTAATAAAAAGTATTATTATTATTCCATGAGGCAGCATTATTTACATAAAAGCAGTTATAAAACATTATTAGCAGCAAATGCATAGATGCTAGGATTTAGCTTCAAACGTATTTTGATTTATAGTTGTACAGTTAGAGAAAGCTCAATGGCTCTAAAATTATAAGTAAATAGAATTGCATAAAGAGAATTATATTTCAAACTCTCAAGAGAATCCATTATATATGTTGTTGTTGTTGTGTGCCGCTGAGTTATACCCAACTCATAGCGACCCCTCCTTGGGTTTCTGAGGCATTATCACTATGGAAGTTGATTGCCCAACCTTCCTTCCGAGGAATGGTTGGTGGGTTTGAACAGCCAGTCTTCTGGTTAGCATAGCCTTAGGCACTATGCTACCAGAGCTCCTTTCATTATATATAGGAACTCTGAAAAAATAAAGCCAACTAATCCTTTGTTAGGAGCTCTGGTTGCATACTGCCTAAGGCATCCGACTGCTAACCAGAAGGCTGGCAGTTCAAACACACCAGCCACTCCTCAGAAGGAAGGTTGGACAATCTATTTCCATAGTAATACTGCCTCTGAAACCTAAGGAGAGGTTGTTATGAGTCAGATCCGACTCAAAGGCAGTAGGTTTTGGGTTTTTTTTTTTAATCCTTTGTTTGATATTAAGGATTCAACATTTTAATTTTTAGATAATTTCAAAGTGTGCGACAATTATGCATAAAGTATGGTGATTCAAACTATCATCATATATCCATAAGAATCACAAGCATTTTATTGGGCAGGTGGAGAAAGGGTGCCCATGTGAAGAAAAGAGGAACAGGCACAACAAAGGTATATTCTCATCTAAGGTCACAATGCAAGTGAAGGATGAAATCAACCACAGGGGTGTCCAAGTATACAGACACTCAGGACAGAAATTCAAAACAGTAAACTATGCCTTCCACTTAATTTAGTTCAGTCAATTAGTTACCATTTTGTCCTCCATAGTATTAAGTTTGCATCCATATTAATAGAGAACAGATACATAAAGTTAAAATTTCACTAAGACATATTTTATAAAAAAGTAAAACTTGGAATTCTGGTAAGATGGAGGAATAGGCAGACTAGCGACACAGACCCTCTTCAAGAAAAGAAAAACCAAGTGACAAAGATACAGAAGATAATCCTGGAGCCCTGAGCTTTGAAAGGAACTATACAGAAGTGGATTAGGCACCAACTAGTAGAAAAACCTGAATGAAAACAAGTGAGTACAGAGATGGTCGGAGCTGCAGACTGTCAACTACTCTGATGGGACCAACAGCCTGAATATTTCCAAGTGGTGCTGGAACCTGAGAATTGACCTAAAGATCAGTTCTGGTCACCAAGGGCTGCAAGGACGACTGCGCTGGTGGCCTATGACTACAAAGGGAAACAGCAATGAGGGAGACAACCTGGGCTGTGGACTTTCCACTGTACAGCAGGCGCAGCCATTTTGATTGTCTACACGTGGCAGCCATTTTGGATATTATAAGTGACCGAGGGCACAGTCATTTTGAATGTTTACAAGGGGCAATCATTTGGGATTTTAAAGTGATCCCATTCTCTTTTGGATTTCAGGGACCTAAGAATAGGCTCTGTTTGCCAAGGTCGGCAGGGACATACAAGAGGCTGACAACAGGAAAGGAGACAGGTGATAAGTGTATAAGTGCTGTCAACTAATGGATAGAGGAGCATTGCACAGTACCCTATTTGCATAGAAAACAAACAAAGAAAAGGAAAATTGTGGGCAAGTCATTCCAACATACAATCACCAGTTAAATATAAACACAAAAACATCACAATGCCTCAGAAACAACAGACCATCAGAGTCCACACAAAGAAGCAAGAGAAAGCAGGAGAAACGAGGGACCAGGACACAGACCCAAAACACATCCCGGAGGAAGATGCAGCATTGGAACTCCCTGATAAGGAATTCAAAAGAATTGCATTTAGGTATCTTCAAAGGATTGAAAGACAGACCAAGGAAAACACAGACAAAACCCTAGAAGAATTTTGGAAGAAAACACAGTAACAAAATGACAAAATCAATGAAAAATTAGAAATGATTCTAAATCTACAGATAGAAATCCAGAAGATTAATACTAAGTTGTCAGAAATAGGTAACACATTGAAAGGACAAAGGAGCAGAACTGATGCAATGGAAGACAGAATTAAAGAGACTGAAGACAAATACCTGAATACTTCTTTGGAAAGGGATCAATCAGAAAAAAGATCAAGACAAAATGAAGAAAGCCTAAGGTTCATGTGGGATACTATCAAAAGGAATAACCTACGTGTCATTGGAATTCCAGAACAGGAGGAGAAAAAGAAAACCACTGAGAAAATTGTCCAAGATTAATTGGAGGAGAACTTCTCTGATATGATGAAAGATGAGAATATATCTCTTCAGGAAGTCCAACAAACCCCAAACAGGATACACCCCAAAAGAAAAACATCAAGACATATCATCATCAAACTCTCCAAAACAAAGGCAAAGAAAGAATCATGAGAGCAGCACAGGAAAAATGAAAAGTTACCTACAAGGGCCAACCAATAAGACTGTTGTTATTGTTGTTGTTACATGCCATCGAGTCAGACCCAACTCATAGTGACCCCTCCTTGGGTTTCCAGGCAGTATCACTACAGAAGTAGACTGCCCAACCTTCCTTCCGAGGAGTGGCTGGGGGGCTTGAACCACCAGCCTTCTGGTTAGCAGTCAAGTGCCTTAGGCACTATGCCACCAGAGCTCCTACCAATAAGATTAGGCTTGGATTTTTTGGCAGAAGGCATACAGGCAAGAAGACAATGGGATGGTATATATAATACCCTGAAAAAGAACAATTTCCAACCAAGAATTATGTACCCAGAAAAACTGTCCCTCAAATATGATGGTGAAATTAGGACATTTCCAGATAAGCAGAAATAAAGGGAATTTGTTAAAACCAGACCAACCTCACAAGAGATGCTAAAGGGAGCCCTTTGGACAGAGAAGCAACAACAGCCAACAACAACTGACCATTAACACACATGATGATATAACCCAGAAACCAACCCAGCTATGGAAGCGTCCAACGTAAATAAGCCTACAAGATTGTCAACAGGGAACTAGAGACACCAATTGACAAATGAGGACAACTACAAACCAAAAAGAGGGAAAAACCTGTGTTGTTACAGAACTTCTAGATGGAAGGGATGACAGACTGTTCTAAACTTGGGAAGAAACTATAAATCACAGGGTAACTTCAAAGAAAAATGATAAACCTTCACATCAAAATAAAAAAGAGGACCAGAACAAATATTTAGCAAATCCTAACAGTGCCTAAGGCACTTGACTGCTAACCAGAAGGCTGGCGGTTCAAACCCACCAGCCACTCCTTGGAAGGAAGGTTGGGCAATCCTACTTCCGTAGTGATACTGCCTTGGAAACCCAAGGAGGGGTAGCTATGAGTCGGGGGTGACTCGATGACAAATAACAACAACAACACCAAAAACAATAGCAACAAAAGAAGTGATAACACGATTCATACAAAACAGGCTCACCATAGAAAATTATATGGAACAAAGAAATTGACACCACAAAAAAATGACAGCAACAAATTCATACTTGCTGATAATTACCTATCTGGCAAGGGACTTATCTCTAAGATTTACAGAAAACTCCAATGCTTCAACACCAAAGGAACTAACAATCCAATTGAAAAATGGGCAGAAGACATGAATAGACACTTCACCATTCAGGTGGCCAGCCAACACATGAAGAGATGCTCACAATCATTGGCCATCAGAGAGATGCAAATCAAAACAATAAGATAGTGTCTCACCCCAGCACTGATGGCAAAGTTCAACAAGACAGAAAATAACAAAAGCTGGTGGGGATGTGGAGAGATTGGGATTCTCATACACTGCTGGTGGGACTGTGAAGTGAGACAATCACTGTGGAAAGCAATATGGTGATTCCTTAGAAAGCTGGAATTGGAGATACCATTTGACTCAGCAATTCCATTACTAGGTATATAGCCTAGAGAGATGAGACCCAGGTCAGGAACAGATATATGCATACTTATGTTCATCACAGCACTATTTACATTATAAAAAAGATAGAAACAACTTAAGTGCCCATCAGCAGAAGAGTGGATGACCAAACTATGGTACATACACATAATGGAATGCTATGCAGCACTAAAGAATAATGTACAGTCTGCAAAATACCACATAATATGGATGAACTTGGAGGGCATTATGCTGAGTGAAGTAAGTCAATCATAGAAGGACAAATATAGTATTAGTTTGTTGTGGAGGGTCAAGGAAAGGTTTATATATGGAGGGAAACTTTCTTTGTTGGTTGCCAGGGATGGGGGGGACACCACCCCCCCAAAAAAATGCATTGACCTATGTCACTTTAGTTTTGTGTATTTCACAATATATAAATTATATTTCAATAAAATGCATTAAAAAAAATAAAAAGACTACAGCCAAGCAGACCCAATAGAGCACAGTCTGACTCACCATGAGGCGAAATCGACTCAATACAACCAACAACAATAAACTTGGACATATACAAAAAAAAAAAAAAAGAAGTAAAACTTGCCAATTTAATAGTGGTTATTATTGTTAGGTGCCATCAAGTCTGTTCTGACTCATAGCAACCCAATGTACAACAGAACAAAACACCACCCAGTTTGCACCATCCTCACAATCACTGCTTTTCTTCAGCCCACTGCTGTAGCCACTGTGTCAATTCATCTCAGTAAGTGTTGCTAAATGTAGCAAACCAGGAAAAATAAAAATAAGGGCAATGCTAGTATGACTTAAATGTCACTAAGTGGCACTATTACTATAACTTACCTGCAAGTGGACATGTTCATGTCTTATAATATTCTCTTCTATGCAAAGAGGGTTCCTAAGTACAGGATAGGATAGGAATAACTAAAGTGTTTAAAAAGCAGAAACCCAAGGTGGCTGAGAAGGGCATAAATTTACTCAGTGGGTATAGAAACAAACAGTACACAGCTCACAAACATTAAAGAAGGAGGAAGGCTAATAGGAAGAGAAAGTAAGAATTATTCTTGTTCTACCAACTCCTTTATTCCCCACAAATTTGGTGGCAATGGGCATCTCATCCTGCCTGGGAATTAATTGAGTAGTTTTCAACTCTGGATGAAATCATTTGGGAGCTTTAAAATCTTACTCCTAGAAATTTTGATTCAACTGGTCTAGGGTAGCACTTGGGCAGAGCTTATGTGTGCGAAGCGGGCATTTTAAGGCTCCAAGGTGATTCTAATCAACAATTAGGATTGGAAACAGGTTGGGAGATGACAGGGACTCAACTTACAGTTATCATGGCTCTAGGTTCAGAGATGAACTCTGGTGGCATAGTGCCTAAGGCATTTGACTGCGAACCAGAAGTTTGGCAGTTTGAACCCACCAGCCACTCCAAGGAAGGAAGACCAAGTAACCTACTTCCGTAAAGATTTACAGCCTCACAAACCCAAAGGGGGTTGCTATGTGTTGGGATCAACTTGATGGCACTGAGTCTGGTTTTGATTTTTAGAGGTTCAGACATTCCCTGAAAAACAACCTGAAGCCTAAAGAAAGTTCAATGATAAAATTTATTTGAAATGTTTAATCAAATATTTATAAAAAGTTATTTAAGTGGCATCACTTTAATTTCATTTGAATAACAGCAATACAACTATCTGGCCCAAAACAAATGGCATCTTACCCGTCTATTGAGGGCTGTCTTGCTCCCAAGTTTTGTCATCTCCCCAAGGCTGTTTTGTGAAACTCTTCTGTCAGCATCTTCCTGTATCCCTGAAAGAATTTATTAATAATAATAATGTAAATAATAGTGTAAATCACCATTTACATTAAAATTCAGTTGGACACGCTTTATAAAGGAGTTCTGGTGGGGCAGTGGTTACAGCATTCAGCTGCTAACCAGAAGGTCAGCCGTTCAAGCCCACCAACCACTCTGTGGGAGAAAGATGAGGCAGGCAGCTTCCATAAAGATTTAGAGCCTTGGAAACCTTATGGGGCAGTTCTACTCTGTCCTATAAGGTCACTATGAGTCAGAATCAACTCATTGGCAGTGGGACTGGTTTGGGTTATGCTATTTAAAGAGTAGAGAAATATCAACAATAATTTTCAAGACAAAAAAAGAGTATCACTATAAAATAATACAAAACAGCTTCAAACCCAAACTACTTAAAGAACTTGATCTTTACCTGTAGTATCCGAACATGGAATGTCCCCATTTGTTGTTGAAGTTACAAGATATTTTCTTGCATTGCTTAGTCCACGACTATTAAGGAAAACAGGCAAATGAACTATATTACGCATATAGTCATGTCCATTTATATTTGAATCACGAAGCACGCTATTGAGGTTCTGGTTAATTGCCTTTATAATAATATGTGGATCACTTGCAAAAATGGCAATGAATGGGCCTTTGGAAAATAAAACTCGGACCTGTGACAGAAGAAACATATAACTGTGATATAAATTTTAAATCGTCAGATATAATAAAATATCTTTTCAGAATCTGTGCTATCCTTTGGTTACTGTGTTTTGTAAAATGGTACTTATTTTATATCAAAAACATTATTCTTAAAAAAAAAAAAACATTTTATTGAAGGCTCAATCTGGGTTTTTCACAATTTGACAGTGATAAAACCTACAAAGAAAACAATACTGTCCCTACTTTCAGACACTTACAATCTATGTAAGAGATAAGATCAACATACATGAGAAATATTCATAAATATCCATGTTAAGATATAGTTGGCCCACTGGTTACACACTGTTGCTTATAACATACCTTACAGACAGCCACTGATGTATCCTATTTTAACCAAAAATTCTATAGATTTTGTAAGTTCCTTATATTCATCTCTGATTCTACCATGTTGATAGGTGCCATCGAGTCGATTCTGATTCACAGCAACCCTATGTACAACAGAATAAAGCACTGCCCTGTCCTTTAATATTTCAGTAATATATCAGACAGTGTTTCCCTGCTATTCATAAGGTTTTAAGTCGCCAATTCTTTCAGAAGTGGATGGCCTTGTCCTTCCCTGTCTGTCTTAGCCTAGAAGCACCACTGAAGCCTGTCCACAATGAGTAACCCTGCTGGTATTCAAAATACTGGTAGCATAGCCTCCAGCCTCACAGCAACATGCAAGCCACCACAATAATGACAAACTGAGAAAAGAGTCTAACCATAGCGACAAAAGCTGGAGTCACACCATGGACTTAAGAAACGCTCTATTCATTGATTTCCCTCACACTGCCATTAAACTAAAATTGCTGCTTTAGCTGTTTAACTCTGTTTCTGATAAAACATTTACTCTTACTATGCTTCTGCATAGAAAATGGTCCTTTTTAAACACAAACAAAGAAACATGAGATACAAACAAGTACTAAAATAAAAAGCACAGTTTCAATTCCATTTGAGATTATTTCATGAAGTGATACATTCTCTCAGCTGTCATGTATGTAAAATTTTCTAGTTTTACTATCATTAAAACTTACAGTATCCAGCATCTGAAGTACTTTGTCTTGTTCACATGCATCTAATCCATCAATGATTACTACCAGTCTTGTCTGATTCTGAGTAAAGCTGTCAATAGTTTTTGCCATTCTGGCCATCAATTCCACTTCACACTTAAGAACCTGAATAAAAGGATGAATAGAGAGCACAAAAGGTATTTTAAAAATAAGCCTCATTTTTTAAAGAACATAACAGAAAGTCACTTAATAGGAAGTATTAAATCTGTGTACTGGATGCTTCATAGTTTACAAAGTGACTACATGCAAATGAAAGCATTTCATCCTCACAATGACACTAGAAGGCAACATTGCCACGCTCTCATATCCAATTTCAAAAGTAAAAATTTGGCTGAATAACTTACTTGCCAAGATCACAGGTGCTGAATGTCAAAGGATTTGGATTTAAATACAAATCCAAATGATCTATACACAACACTACAGTTGGCTCCCCAATGGCATCTGAACTTGAGTAAAGGAAGGAGTTGGAGAAGTTCTATAAAGTTTCTTTCAAATCTAAAAATATGATTCTATTTTATATGTTTTAGAAGTTCAGTTTACTCTTCTTAAAAAACAGATCTGGTGGAGAGATTGGGACTCTCATACACTGCTGGTGGGACACTGTAAAATGATACAACCACCGTGGAAAGCAGTATGACAATTCCTTAAAAAGTTGGAATTAGAAATACCATTTGACCCATCAATTCAACTACTAGGTATATATCCTAAAGAAGTGAGAGCCAGGACAAAAACAAATATACGCACACCCATGTTCATCACAGCACTATTCACAATAGCAAAAAGATGGAAACAACCTAGGTGCCCATCAACAGAAGAATAGATAAGCAAACATGGTACATATATACAATGGAATATTATGCAATCCTAAAGAATAACATAGAATCTGCAAAATACCACATAACGTGGATGAACTTGCAGGACATTATGCTGAGTGAAATAAGTCAATCACAAAAGGACAAATACTGTATTAGTCTGTTATTGTAAACTTCAAAGAAATAAGTCAATCACAGAAGGACAAATGTTGTTGTTGTTGTTATATGCTGTCGAGTCGGACCCGACTCATAGCAACCCCTCCTTGGGTTTCCGAGGCAGTATCACTACGGAAGTAGATTGCCCCGTCTTCCTTCCGAGGAGTGGCTGGTGGGTATTAGTCTGTTATTGTAAATAGTTAAAGAAAGGTTTATATGCGGAAGGAAATTTTCTCTGTTGGTTACCAGGGGTGAAAGGGGAGGGAAGGGGAGGGAACACTGCTAGATAGGTAGAGACAAGTATTGATTTGGGTGAAGGAAAGGGCAATGTGAATGATCAACACAGTGGCATTGAGGAAGAGGAAGACATAGAGAGGTGCCTGGGAGGTACAGACAACAAAGATGAACACTTCTGTACTGTCAGTGAAGACAAACATTGATATACAGGTGGATAGATGAGTGCACAGGTTGAACAATCAGGTATGTCTATGCAGGGGGGAGTGTGCCTATGACCATGTACAGGGCTGGCAGATAATGTTTCTACAAGTGTATTTGTATGTTCTGTAAGAATTTCCAGGTATATAGTAGAGCTGACAAGGGACAAGGTTGTAATCACTTTTTGGCCATAGACAGCTACCTGGAGGGAGCGAGTAGTTGGACCTGTGGGCTCTGGTCCATGGTCACAAAGGACATCAAGCTCCATTGGCATAATATACTATCCAAAAACAGTGTTCCACATCCTACTTTGGCGAGTAGCAACTGGGATCTTAAAAGCTTGCAAGCAGCCATCTAAATCCATTGGTCTTTCCTCGTCTACAGCAAAGAAGAATGAAGAAAACCAAAGACTTGTGGAAACGATTAGTCCAAGGGACTGGTACACCATACGATCCTCAGCCTATATGACTATGAGACCAGAAGAACTAGATGGTGCCCGGTTACCACTGTCGACCACTCAGAAGGGTATCTATGTAGGAGATCCTGGATAGAGTGGGAGATCAATGTGGAACAAAACTCAAAATCATTTAAAAAAAAAAAAGGGAGCGGGGACCAGGTTTGCGGGTCTGATAGAGCCTAGTGAAACCCCAATCCAGGTCTTGATTGAACCCACTCCTGTGGCTGGTTTCCAGCCAAACAAAAGACAGGCATATGAGCTGAACATTTATATTAGGTAGATATACTCCTTGGAGAGAACAATCATAGGAGAATAAAGGCCTGTGTGGGAACAGGGAGACAGCTCAGGGGGTGGGGGGTTGGGCAGGAAGGACCCAGGGAAGAGGTGGCTATGGGGAGGAAGTGGGAGGAGAGTGGTTACACTGTGGGAGATTACAATGTCATGAGACAATGTGTATGTGAGCAGCTGTATGGAAGATGAATTTGCTCTGTAAACTTTCACCCAAATCACAATAAAAATTAAGGAAAAAAAACTGATCTGCTTTCCCTACTAGGCTCTATAGTAAGCTCTACTCTGACACATATAGGATCAGCATGAGTCAAGACCGACTCCTCTGTAATTCTGGGGTGGAGTTAGCAGCTGGTGTCCCAGGGTGGTACAAAACATTAACACCCTTGGCTGCTAAGTGAAAAGCTGATAGTTCTAGTCCATCCAGTGGCACCTCAGAAGAAAGGCCTGGCAATCTACTTCTGAAAAAACTAGCCAATGAAAACCCCATGCACAATGGTTTGATCTGCAACTGATCATGGGGATGGTGCATGACCACAGGCAGTCCATTGTGCAAGGAGTTACCATGAATCCAGGATCAACTTGACAACAGCTGGCAGCAGCTAACAAGACAATTACCACCTATGGAAATTATAAAAGTCTAATTTATAAAAACATGTTATTAACTTTTTTCACTCTAAATATGTATTTCCATGGGATTTTTTTAAAAAAACTAAAAATAAATACAACACTTTTAACATTTACAGAATAAATTTCCTAAAGCCCAAACAATTATGGTCATGATCAACACATTAATACTGCAAGTATTTTCTAATAACCATAGGAGTACTTACTTTCATGAACCCTTCACTTTTCAATTTGTGCAGTCTGGAGGCAGCATTATGTAGGCGCTTTCTTTGAGAATTTAGGAGAGAGTCTAGCACTTGCCACCATGTACGACAGTTCAACACAAAGGCCAACCCAACTACAGATGCAATTGATATCAGAACAGCATTCACTGTCAGATGTTTTGAATCAACTCTGAATATAGCCAGAAGAGTAATTCCAGCAACAATACAGACAAAGATAAAGAGAAAGATGACAAATGATGGGAGACAACATGTTTTTTTCCATTTCTTTTTACCTGTAATAAAGATTTTAAAAATTATTTGTATATCAAGTATCTAGAAAATCCTAATCACAATTAGAGCTATAATGAATCTGATGCTCAATACATGTTTTCATGGAAATAAACAGAAATGAAAATTCATCCTACCTTCAAGCCCAACACATACACAAAGAAGGAGAAGGAAAAAAGGAAGCCCTACCCTGTGTATCTTCAGTCTTGAATACTCGAAAAAGCCTTGTTGCCAAAAAGCCAAACTCTCTTTCACAGGCATCTGAGAGGGTAGCAATCATTTCAGCCAATGACGTTTCTCCACCTACACTGGACAACCTATTGTAATCTGTAAACAAAAACCTTGGGGGAAAGACCAAGTAAACTATTACTCAAAAGTAACAAATTACTCTATTACTCTAAAATAACAAATAACTTTAACTTTAACATATGTAAGTATAAATATGGCTGTAAGAAGAACAAACAAATCTGTCTTGGAGTAAGTACAGCCAGAATGTTCCTTAGAAGGGAGAATGGCCAGACTTTGTCTCTTGTACTTTGTCATGCTATCAGAGGGGACCAGTCACTGGAGAAGGTTATCATGCTAGGTAAAGCAGAGGATCTGCCAAAAACAGGAAAACTCTCAATGAAATGGAATGACACAGTGGCTGTGATGATGGGCTAAAGCATGACAACAACTGTGTGGATGGTGCAGGACTGCACAGTATTTTAATCTGCTGTACACAGGGTCACAGGAGTTGGAACTGACTTGATGGCACCTAACAACAATAACACATCTGTATCATTTTACCCTATCTTTTCTTTGTCTTTTTTACCAAAAATACTAGACAGAGAGCTATCAAAGCACCAAATTAAGAGATTGGGACCTTAAGAAAATTACAGTCATTAATAATTTCAAGCCCAATACTACCACTTAAGAACTCAAGTTTTAGAATATCTTACTTTATTTATATGCAAAACATCTACCTGGGATTTAAAAAGATATTTTGAAATATTCTTTTCAGTGTAAAGAACTGAATCATTTGTACTTCAATTCTTTGAAGGTATATTACTTTTACATTAGTTCCTTTCTCTCTTCCATCTCTAAATTAAATTCTCATCTCAATCTAGTAAGTAAACTTTCCTCTTAAAATGCAATCTGGTTGTAGAACAAGATTTTTATGTACTATGTTGAGCCAATTGAGCATGATGTCCCCCGAGACTATGGTCCCAAGTCCACAGGCCCAGTGATTCTCTCTCTCAAGGTGTTTTGTCTCTGGGAAGTTATTACAACTCTATCTTCTGTTGCTTCTGTTATGTATGTGGCTAATTTTGTAGTACAAGTGCATATGTAAGATTAGCGTCAGCCAAGTCTATCCTTGGTCTAAGGTATATTCCTGCTCACCTCACACCCACCTGATCTTCTCACCTGTCTATGCATTTATCTGTAGGCTGGTGTTTTGTGTTAGTGGTAAATGCAATATTATGCATATACTAATATTTGCCTCTGATTTCTTTATCTTATGTGCATGTTTCAGTATCCTTCCTTTCCCCAACATCATCATGTTGGTCACAGACTCTTTCCATACCATCCCTCTCCTCACCCAAATCAACAAATGACCCTCAACTAGTCTGAAATTTTCCCTCCCCTTTCTTGCCATCCCTGGTAACCAACAAAGTGAATTTCCTTCCCTGAGTAAACCTTTCCTTGACTGTTTATAATAATGGGCTCATATAGTATTTGTCCTTCTGCAATTGGCTTATTTTACTCAGCATAACATCCTCCAAATTCATCCACATTGTGAGATGATTCATGTAGTCTTCATTATTCTTTAATGTTGCATAGTATTCCATTGTGTAAATGTACCATAGTTTGGTTTTCCATTCATCTGCTGATGAGCATTTAGGCTGTTTCCATCTCTTTGCTAGAGTGACTTGGGCTGCAGTGAACATGGGTGTGCATAAATCTTGTTTTACAACCTACTTTGGTGAGTAGTGACTAGGGTTTTAAAAGCTTTCAATCAGCCATCAAAGATGGAACGATTGGTCTCCTCTTATCTGAAGCAAAGAAGAGTGAAGAAAATCAAAGGCATTTGGAAACAATTAGTCCAAGGATAAGATGGACCACAAGAACCTCGGCCTTCACAACCCAAGACAAGAACTAGATGGTGCCCAGCTACCAATACGAACTACTTGAAAAGGGTTCAAAACTGGAGATCCTGGATAGAGTGGGAGGAACAATGTGGAATGAAATTCAAAAACACAAAAATGACCAAAATTACTGGTCAGAGACTATGGCCCCAGGTTACCATTTGGGGATAGAAATGTATTCACTTCCATGGATTGGCTTCAGCCCAACAAGAGAAAGATCTACATGCAGAACATCTACCCAAGTTGATGAATCCACCTACTTTAAGGAGATACACCCCTTAGATCAATCAGCCATGAGACACCAGAGGGACAGCACTCACATTTTGGATTTTAAAGTGATAGCATTCTCATTTGGATTCCAGGGACCTAAGAACAGGCTCAGTTTGCCAGGGTCAGCAAGGACATATGAGAGGCTGACAACAGGAAAGCAGACAGATGGTGAGTGTACAAGTGCTGTCAACTAGTGAATAAAGGAGCACAGCACAGTACCCTGCCTGTATAGATAGCATACAAACAAAACACAAAGAAAATGAAAATTGTGGGCAAGTCACTCCAACATACAATCACCAATTAAATATAAACACAAAAACATCACAATGCCTTGGAGACAACAGAGTATCACAGTCTACACAAAGAAGAAATATAAGGCAGGAGAAACAAGGGACCAGAATACAGACTCAAAACACATCCCTGAGAAAGACTCAGCGTTGGAACTCCCTGATAAGGAATTCAAAAGAATTATATTTAGCTATCTTCAAAGGATTGAGAGACAGACCAAGGAAAACACAGACAAAACCTAGAAGAATTTTGGAAGAAAACACAAGAACAAAATGACAAAATAAATGAAAAATTAGAAATGATTCTAAATCTACAGACAAAAATCCAGAAGATTAATACTAAATTGTCAGAAATAGATAACACATTGAAAAGGCAAAAGAGTAGAATTGCTGCAATGGAAGACAGAATTAATGAGACTGAAGACAAATACCTGAATACTTCTTTGGGAAGGGATCAATCAGAAAAAAAGATCAAGACAAAATGAAGAAAGCCTAAGGTTCATGTAGGATACCATCAAAAGGAATAACCTATGTGTCATAGGAATTCCAGAACAGGAAGAGAAAAAAAAAAAACACTGAGAAAATTGTCCATCTGTTGGAGCAGAACTTCCCTGATATAAGTGATGAGATCCATTCAGGAAGTCCAATGGACCCCAAACAGGATAGACCCCTAAAGAAAAACACCAAGACATATCATCATCAAACTCATCAAAAACAAAGACAAAGAAAGAATCATGAGAGCAGCATGGGAAAAATGAAAAGTTACCTACAAGAGGCAACCAGTAAGACTAAGCTCAGATTTCTTGACAGAAACCATGCAGGTGAGAAGACAGTGGGATGGTATATATAAAACACTGAAAGAGAAAAATTTCCAAACAAGAATTATGTACCCAGCAAAACTGTCCCTCAAATATGATGGTAAAATTAGGACATTTCCAGATAAGCAAAAATTAAGGGAAATTGTTAAAACCAGACAAACCTTACAAGAGATGCTAAAGGGAGCCCTTTGGACAGAGAGGCAACAACAGCCAACAACAACTGACCATTAACACACATGATGATATAACCCAGAAACCAATCCAGCTATGGAAGTTTCCAAAGTAAATAAGCCTACAAGATTGTACACAGGGAACCAGAGACACCAACTGGCAGATGAGGACAACTACAAACCAAAAACAGGGGAAAAAAAAGTCTGCATTGTTACAGAATTTCTAGATGTAGAAGTCTAGATGTAGAAGTCAAGACAACTACAAGATAGAACGGACTGTTCTACACTTGGGAAGAAAAGTATAAATCACAGGATAACCTCAAAGAAAAATGATAAACCTTCACATCAAAATAAAAAGAGGACCAGCATAAATATTCAGCAAATACTAAAACAACAGCAATGAAGGAAGTGATAACACAATTCATAAACAAAATGAGTTCAGCATAGAAAATTATATGGAACAAAGAAATCGACACAAAGAAAAAGCACATGACAAAAATGACAGCAACAAATTCGTATTTGCTGATAATTTCATACCTGGCAAGGGACTTATCTCTAAGATTGATGGGAAACTCCAGTACCTCAACATCAAAGGAATTAACAATCCAATTGAAAAATGGGCAGAAAACATGAACAGACACTTCACCAAGGAGGATATTCAGATGGTCAGCTATAAATGAAAAGATGCTCACAATCGTTGACCATCAGAGAGATGCAAATCAAAACAACGAGATACTGTCTCATCCCAGCACTCATGGCAAGGTTCAATGAGAAAGAAAATAACAAATGCTGGTGGGGACGTGGAGAGATTGGGACTCTCATACACTGCTTGTGTGCCTGTGAAGTGACACAACCACTGTGGAAAACAATATGGTGATTCCTTAGAAAGTTAGAATTGGAGGTACCATTTGACCCAGCAATCCCATTACTAGTATTATATATCCTAGAGAGGTGAGAGCCAGGATAGGAACAGATACATGCATGCTCATGTTCATCACAGCACTATTTACAATAGCAAAAAGAAGGAAACAACCTATGTGCCCATCAGCGGAAGAGTGGATGACCAAACTATGGTACATACACATACTGGAACGATATGCAGCACTAAAGAATAATGTAGAGTCTGCAAAACACCGCATAATATGGTGAACTTGGAAGACATTATGCTGAGTGAAATAAGTCAATCACAGAAGGACAAATACAGTTAGTTCATTGTTGTGGAGGGTCAAGGAAAGGTTTATATATGGAGGGAAACTTTCTTTGTTGGTTGCCAGGGTGGGAAGAGAGGGGAGGGAACACTGAAAAAAAAAAGAAAATGCATTGACCCATGTCACTTTAGTTTTGTGTATTTCACTGTACATAAATTATATTTCAATAAAATGCATTAAAAAATCATCTCATTAATTTAGAATGCTTTTGCTTTCCTTAAAAAACACTTCCCCAATATTTTATTCTATTTGCATGTTTTCTTTTTAACTCTTTTATTTCAACTTTTTATTTTTAAATCCTTTTCTGAATACTTAATCCTATATGATAATTAGGAGCTCTGGTGGCATAGTGCCTATTTGACTGCTAACCAGAAGGCTGACAGTTCAAACCCACCCGCCACTCCTTGGAAGGTTGAACAATGTACTTGCCTAGGTCGCTATGAGTTGGATCTGACTTGAGGGCAATGAGGTGAGGGTTTATGTTTAATTACTTATAAATTCTTATCTTAGTTTTTCTCTCTTCTAGTCATGGTTTTGATGTTTTATCTGATTTTGCCTGTTCTCTTTTGTTTTCATCTGATTTGTATCTTAAGAATTCAGAAATTCTTAATCTTTTAGAATTAATCTTTTAGTGAATTTTTCATTCTTTTGCTAAGTTCTATTGAATTTCTTTTGCATTTAGTTATCTTATCTCATTTTTCCCCTCCACACACACCCTTCACCACAGTACCTTCTGGAACCTTCTACATTTCCTTTATTAATTAATTTAACTTTTCTGAATTGTTTTCTCATATATATGAGGAATAATTTTTCTTGGAATATTGTTTTCTCATATAGTTTGTTGCATATTTGATCTTCATAATAATTTTAATATAGGCAAGTAAACGTATTTCCACAGATGAGGAAATAGCTCAAAGAAACTAACTACAGTACCCAAAGGGTACACACTAATATTAGAAAGTGTTAGTAGGTTGGTAGCTACAATAAATGCTCTTTTTAATGAACGTTCCAAAGAAAGATAACAAAAAACATGGAGACAAAAAAAGGTTTACAGTAAAATAAAATTGGGTAAGTCAAAGTTAAACAGATTTCTTTATAGAAATGACTCTGACCCTTTAATGTTCAAGACAGAGATAAAATACGAAGTATTTTTCAAGCTTATTTCACCAGGGCATTTTTTTCTTTTTCCACATAAAAAGTTCAAGGGACCAATTTTTTGGAACATACATTGAGAAATTATACATTATAAGTTTATTAAGTGAAAAAAACTTATTAAAGATTACTTCTGTCATAGGTACCAACTTACCTCACAGGTAAAGCCTTAGTAGTTTGCTCTGGCAATTCAGGTGGATTCACAAACATCAATTTGAGGAGGAGTTCCAAATATCCAATATGTCTTGCCAATCTAGTACTGAGGACCCAGGCCCAATTCCAACTCTCTCCTTCTCTTCGTCCACCAAAGTAAATCACAACTGAAATACACGGTTTTAGAAATTTTCCAAAATAATCATTAGTCAAGTAGCTTCCTTTCTCTAATATCAAAATTTCTTACGGTCTAATATCAATTAATGACAGGTAGGTTATATAACTTTTCGTGATCCCGAATTATATTTCCTAAACACTCTGGTAGCATAGTGGCTAAGACACTTGCCTGCTAACCAGACGGCTGGCGGTTCAAACCCACCAGCCACTCCTCGGAAGGAAGGTTGGGCAATCCTACTTCCGTAGTGATACTGCCTCGGAAACCCAAGGAGCGATCACTATGAGTCGGGTTTGACTCGACGGCACATAACAACAACAACAACAACAAACTACTATTCAAAGAATTTCTCAATTTCCTCAACGTACAGAAGGTATGGAAATGATGGACAGTAAACTGACTAAAATATGACCTAACCCAAAACCAAAAATATGACCTAAGCACAATCAAAAGATAATATCTTAAACAGAAACATATCATGTACTTCATATTTTGGTTTATCACTGTTGAAGTTACAATTCCTCTAGTAGTCCAGATACTCAATCTATTTCCTTTCTTGCAACTGAAGATACCCCAAGAAGAGGAATTACATTTTGTTTTTCTACTTTGCTTCTGGATTTTAAAAAAAAAGTCAAACAAAATGCTCAGTTATATACTAACTAAAGCCCAGAGCATACTGTGAAGCCATACTTTCAGAAAAGATTTAAATGTGAACCATTAATTAACATACAAAAGGATAAGTACAATAAATTAAAGAGGCCAGCTTAACTATGTATAATTGTACACTAGTTTTTAAAGCTACTCCCGATAGGTTGTGGACAATGTTCCTCTACGTCAATTTATAAAATATCAAAAAGATCAACTTTCTCACCCAATTATGAAAATCACTTACAGGTTTTCAGAGAGGGAGAATGTTTTAAGTAAAACAATTGAGTGCTGACATTTTTAAAAGAGATAAAAAGCAAAGACTTACTAAAGAATATATATAAGAGAGCCAAGAGGCTCAATGACACCGCTATTCCAAGATTTGGGTCAACGGTAAAAGCAAACAGTAAGCCAAACCCTCCACAAAGTAACAGGGTAAGAAATACTATAAGCCACGAAAACTGAAAAAGAGGTTCAATCTGTTGTCCTGCGAAAGTCTTCATTTCATCTGTAAGAGATATTAACATGAAAACTTATTCCTATTTTAAGAAATAAAACTTTTAATTCAATATTAAATTTTCACAATAAACATTTACTGGGTACACTACTAACGTCCACAGATTGTTGCTACTCAAACGTTTTAAGCAATATTCTTTTGATAAACATGAAAATCTCGTTCCCTAGAAGCTTAGCTACCCTTGTCTTACCCTCTTCTCCTCCTTCACATTTAGAATATACAAAATCCCTCTCCATCTATTAAGATTTTGTTGGTATTTATCTTTTCTAGTATATTTTACACAAGCAGCACAGTACTGTTTTCCATATCCAAAATATAAAAATAATTACTTCATTTATGTGTCTTCAAACTACATAAAACCACCATTCCTCCTTGGTACTCCTATTCCTATCCTCCCCATCCAATCACATTTGAGAACGTTGTTTTTAAAGATATCTGTTAAGCCAAATGAGCCCCAAACATTTATATATCTTTTTAAAAAAAAAAAAAACAAACTTGGGAACTTGTTATGGGGGATACTGAAACCTGTCCTTGAAGAATGAGGAAGATCTTGCAAGCAAACGTGTGTATATTGGTTAGGGAAATAGGAGAAAGAGCTGTCTAGGAAGTGACTGATAGTGGGAGTAACTCAAGAAGTATATAGTCTGTTCCTTCAAGAGGAACTAGCCCTCTGTGACTAAAGCGAAGAGTACACACAAGAGATGGTGTTGAAGATTTGACCATACAAATTAATAAGTTTGTGAAGGATCCTAAAGACATAAATATAAGTAGTACATATAGCAAATCCACTACCAAAGGATTTTAAGTGGTCATAAATGGATCTGTGTTTTAGAAAAAGAACTCAAGTGATCTTGTGGAGGATCAACTAGAAGGGAACAAAAGCCTAACAAATTCATTTTAGTAAAGTATGTAACACATATAACGATACATAAAGTTCTATACTTTTCATTACTTCTAAAAGAACACAAGAGAAAACCTTGCTATATATACAGACTTTCTACAAACATACACTTTACCTTCTAATTTCTTGAGTAAGAAAGATTTCCCACTTCCCCACTGTGCGTATAATCCCACACAAATGGGGGGCTGCATGGTAGGTTCACTAAGAATATCTGCCAAGGCACTGCTATATAAATCATAACCAAGCATATCACCATCTGTTTCAGTAGGAGACAAGTGTCCTGCAATTATAAACACATCATACATTTACATTAAAAAGTAACATTACTATTAGAAAGGAGTATCAATTCTTATTACTCATTTAATTAGTTAGAGAAAAAAAATTTATTTTAAATGTTTACATCTATATACAAATATTGGGCGCTCTGGTGGCATAGTGCTTAAGGCATTGACTGCTAACCAGAAGGCTGGCAGTTCAAACCCACCAGCCATTCCTCAGAAGGAAAATTGGGCAATCTACTTCCGTACTAATACTGCCTCAGAAACCCAAGGAGGGGTCACTATGAGTTGGAACCCACCCCACAGCATTGAGTTTGGTTTTGTGGTTTTGAGTACATAATAAATTTAATATGTGTAAGAACTACATAAAGAAAGCTATAAACTTTTACTAAAGAATATAATAGATGATCAGAAACATACAGTCTATGGTTCCAGACAGAAAGGACAGTGATTCTTCCCTAATTAATCTGTCACCTTAAAGCAATTCCAATCAAAATTCCATGAAAAGAGGGAAGGGCAAATAAGAATAGCTAAGAAAAATAAATTTAAAGACTACAGAATTGGGCAATCTACTTCTGTAGTGATACTGCCTCGGAAACGCAAGAAGGGTCGCTATGAATCGGGTCTGACTCAATGGCAAACAATAACAACGACAACAGAACAGTAGTTGTCACTGGAGAGTCAATAAAAAGTTACAACAATCAGAACATCATAGAACTGACATAGGCTATTAGAATCAACAGCATTGCAAATCAACGAGGAAAGGATGAATAAATGGGTTGGGAAAGTTAGCCATCCATTTGTTAAAAATTAGATTCCACAAAACTCATTACTTCTAGTATGTTTCTGAAATATTAAAACAATTAAATTTAGAAAGTGAAAATCATATAAATATTAGAAAAAATATAGGAGGAAAAAAAACAACTTTAAAAATCTTTGTATGGAAAAGGCCTTTCTTCCTCGATTGAAGTAAGGATAGAAATATAGAAAAAGACTGACAGAATAAACTACAAAATGTATAATTTCTAAGTGGGGAATTAAAAGCCATCACCATAAACAAACAATAAGTTAGAGAAGGAAGAGGATACATGTAGATCCAGGAACAATATCTGTAGCACATAAAGATTCTTAAAATAAAATTTAAAAAAAATATATTAAAAACACAAATAAAAAATGGATAAAAATGCAAAGAAAATGGCAAAATGTAATAGCCTATGAACATTTTTGAAGATCTCAAATTCACTAATCATTTCACAATGCAAATTAAGATGGGATATTTTTTTCTTATTGATATGATTAGCAAAGATTTGTACTTGTGAGGTACTGCCAAGTCGACCCTATACACAGCAGAACGAAACACTGTCCAGTCTTGTGCCAGCCTCACAATCCTTGCTATACTTGAGCCCATCGTTGCAGCCACTGTGTCTATCCATCTCGCTGAGGGCCTTCTCCTCCTTTGTTGACCTTCCAGTTTACCAATCATGACATCCTTCTCAAGGAATGGTTCCTTCTGACAACATGACCAAAGCAGGTGAGACAAAGTCTGGTCGTTCTTGCTTCCAAGGAGCATTCCGGCTGCATTTCTTCCAGGACAGATTTGTTAATCCTTTCAGCAGACCATGGTACTCTTAGCATTCTTCTCCAACACCACAACTCAAAACCATTAGCTCTTTGTTGGTCTTCCTTATTCATTGTCCAGGTCTCACACGCATAAGAGGCAACTGAAAATACCATGGCTTGGGTTAGGAGCACCTTAGTCTTCAAGGAGACATCTTTGCTCTTCATCACTTGAAAGAGGTCTTCTGCAGATCTGTCCACTGCAATACATCATCTGATATCTCAACTGCTGTTTCCATTGGTTTTGATTGTAAAACCAAGTAACAAGAAATCCTTAACAACTTCAGTCTTTTTTCCATCCACTGTGAAGCTGTTTATTGGACGAGTTGTGAGGATTTTTGTTTTCTTTATATTGAGGTGTAATCTATACTGCAGACTGGAGTCTTTAATATTCATCAGTAAGTGCTTCAAGTCATCTTCACTTTCAGCAAGCAAAGTTGTGACATCTGTGTATAGCAGGTTATTAATGAGTCTTACTCCAATCCTAATGCCAAGTTCTTCTTCATATAGTCTAGGTTGCTCAGCACACAAGTTGAATAAGTATGGTGAAAGGATACAACCTTGATACACTCCCTTTTTGATTTTGAACCATGCAATATCCCCTTGTTCTGTCTGAACGACAGCCTCCTGATCTATGTACAGGTTTTTCATGAGTATTATCAAGTGTTCTGGAATTCCCATTCTTCTCAATGTCATCTACAATTTTTTATGATCCACACAATCAAAGGCTTTTGCATAGTCAATAAAACATAAGTAAACATCTTTCTGGTATTCCCTGCTTTCAGCAAAGATCCATCTGACATCAGCAATGATATCCCTCATTCCACACCCTCTTCTGAATCTAGCTTGCATTTCTGGAAGATCTCTGTCAATATACTGCTGCAACCGTTTCTGAATTATATTCAGCAAGATTTTATTTGCATGTGATATTAATGGGCGCTCTGGTGGCATAGTGTCTAAGGCATTTGACTGCTAACCAGAAGGCTGACGGTTCAAACCTACCAGCCACTCCTCGAAAGGAAGACTGGGCAATCTACTTCCGTAGAGATAGTGCCTCAGAAACCCAAGGAGAGGTCGCTGTGAGTCAGGACAAACTTGACAACAATTAGTTTGGTTTTGGCTTTTTGTGATATTAATGATAATTGTTCAATAATTTCCACATTCTGTGGAATCACCTTTCTTTGGAATGGGTACAAATATGGATTGCTTCCAGTCAGTTGGCCAGGTAGCTGTCTTCCAAATCCCTTGGCATAGCCAGGAGTGCCTCCAGCGGGGCATCTGTTTCTTGAAACATCTCAATGGGTATTCCATCAATTCCTAGAGCCTTGTTCTTAGACAATTCCTTCAGTGTAGCTTCAACTTCTTCCTTCAGTACTATTGGTTCTTGATCATATACTGCTTCCTGAAATGGATGAACAGTGACCAATTCTTTTTGGTACAGTGACTCTGCATATACTTTTCATCATCTTTTGATGCTTCCTGCATCATTCAATATTTTGCCCACAGCATTTTTCAATATTGCAACTCGAGGTTTAAATCTTTTCTTCAGTTCTTTCAGCTTGAGAAATTCCAAGTGTGTTGTTCTGTTTTGGTTTTCTAATTCTAGGTCTTCGTGCATTTCATTACAGTAATTGGCTTTGTCTGCTCGAGCTGCTCTTTGAAATCTTCTGTTCAGCTATCTTATCTTGTCATTTATTCTATTTGCTTTAGCTACTCACTGCTCAAGGGCAAGTTTCAGAGTCTCTTCTGATACCCGTTTTGGTCTTTTTTTACTTTCTTATCTTTTTAACAACCTCTTACTTTCTTCATGGATGATGTTCTTGATGTCATCGCACAATTCCTCTGGTTTTCGGTCACTAGCGTTCAATGCATCAAATCTATTCTTTAGATGGTCTCTAAAATTAGCAGGGATATTATTAAGGTCATATTTTGGCTCTTGTGGACTTGTTTTAATTGTCTTCAACTTCAACTTGAACGTGCATATGAGCAGTTGATAGTCTGTTCCACAGTCAGCTCCTGGACTTGTTTTGGCTGAAATATTGAACTTCTCCATTGCCTCTTGACACAGATGTAGTCAATCTGATTCCTGTGTATTCCATCTGGTGAAGTACATATGTATAGTCATCACCTATGTTTTTGAAAAAAGGTATTTGCAATGAATAAGTCATTGGTTTTGCAAAATTCCATCATGCGATTTCCACTGTTATTTCTATCACCAAGGCCATGTTTTTCAACTACCGGTAACTCTTCCTGTTTCCAACTTTTGCATTCCAGTCACTAGTGATAATCAATACATCTTGATTGCATGCTCAGTCAATTTCAAACTGCAGAAATTGATAAAGATCTTCAATATCCTCATCTTTGGCTTTGGGTTGGTGTGTAAATTTGAATAACAGTAGTATAACTGGTCTTCCTTGTAGACATATGGCTATTATCCTATCACTGACAGCACTGTACTTCAGGACAGTTCTTGAAATGGTCTTTGTGATGATGAATGCCACACCATTTCTCTTCAATTTGTCATTCCCGGCATAGTAGATCATATGGTTGTCTGATTCAAAATGGCCAAAACCAGTCCATTGCAGCTCACTAATGCCTAGGATAGCGATCTTTATGTGTTCCATTTCATTTCTGACAACTTCCAATTTTCTGAGATTCATACATCATATGAATGTTTGCATCTGTTTCTACTCATTTTGAGTCATGCCACATCAGCCAATGGAGGTCCCGAAAGCTTTACTTTATCCATATCGTTAAGGTCGTCTCTATTCTGAGGAGTCAGCTCTTCCCCAGTCAAATTCTGAGTGCCTTCCAACCTGATGGGCTCATCTTACGGCACTATTTCAGACAATGTTTCAGGGCTGTTCATAAAGTTTTTCAGTAATATATCAGACAGTGTTTCACTGGTATTCGTAAGGTTTTGACTGGCCAATTCTTTGAGAAGTGGAAGGCCTCTTCCTTTCTCCAAGTCTGTCTTAGCTCAGAAGCTCCACTGAAACCTCTCCACCATGGGTAATCCTGCTGGCATCTTGCAACACTATAGCATAGCCTCCAGCTTCACAGAAACACTAAGCTACCACAGGAGACAAACTGACAGACAAGTTTGTATCCCTTAGTTGTTCCTAACCCCATGCACCTGCCTACTTCAGGCAACGGCCTTAAAATAGAGCTGCCCCAAATGAAAAGCAGCCTCCAAGCCCCAGGCCCACCTACCTCAGATCTCGGCCTTAATAAAGAGCCACCCCAAGGGAAAAGCAGCCCCCAGCCCCAGGCCTGCCTACCTCAGGCCCAGCCTTAATATAGAGTTACACCCCAGCAAACAGCAGCCTCCAATTCCCAGGCCTGCTTACACTAAAGTAAAGCAAGCCAGCCTACTCTAAAGCGGGCCCAGCCTTAATACAGAGCCCCAAGTGAGAAGCAGCCTCCAAGTGCCGGGCCCACCCACCTCAGACCTGGCCTTAAGACAGAGCCACAGCAAAGCAAAAAACAGTCTCCAAGCCCTGGGCCCACCTACCTCAGGTCCTGGCCTTAATAAAGAACCACTCCAAATGAAAAGTAGCCCCCATCCCTAGGCCCGCCTACTTTGGACCCCAGCCTTAATATGGAGGCACACCCAAGTGAAAAGCAGCCTCCAAACCCCTGGTCCACCTACCTCAGGCCCCAGCCTTAATCTAGAGTTACACCCAAACAAAAAGCAGCCTCCAAGCCTTGGCAGCAAAGATTAAAAGGCTAGAAATACCCAGTGTTAGCAAGGCTATAGGGAAATTGCATTATCACATACGGCCAATGGGAAAAGAAACTGTTACAATCATTTTTGAAAATTTATCAAAATTAAGGGCATTCGCTGACTTGGCATTTCTTCCTCTGGGAATTTATCCCAAGAAAATAATCCTGAAAATATGAGTTAATAAGAGTTAACAGCTATGTCTAAAGACATTCACTGAAAAAAAAAAAAAAAACGTTCACTGAAACACCAATTTTAATAGCAAAACAAGCTACAGATAGAGGGCTGACTGAATATAATGCTAGAATATACAATGAAACATTATATAATAATTAAAATATTATATAGTTCATTATTAAAAACTTTCAGAATATGTTATGAAATAGTTTTATAAAGGTAAAGAGAAGTCTGGAAGGTCATTCAAACAACTGAGAATCAGAAGACAGGCAACAGAGAAATTGGCACTTTCTACTATATTTATATCTTCATTCTTTTAATTTAATGAGTGTTCACTACTATCACAATTACAAAAAGTATTTTAAAATACAAAAATTCTTAATACAAGAGGCTGGCAGTTCAAACCCACCAGCCACTCCTCAGAAGGAAGATTGGGAAATCTACTTCCATAGAGTTAACACCTCGGAAACCCAAGGAGGGGTCGCTATGAGTGGGAAATGACTTGATGGCAGTGAAATTAGAGTTTTATACTTAAAAACAAGATCTGAGTAACAGAGTAAACTTGAAGGAGGCAGGATTCTATTATTTCCTGTTGGTTTCTGGAACCAACATACTCTACTTTTAATTCTACTAGAAAACTGTTCTATATTTCAAAGTTGCACCTATGAATGATTACATTCTCAAGTACATTCTTTTCAATCAAAAAGAATTTTAGTACAATATTTAAGACATTATACTAGATGTTACAGAAGACACAAAGATTAGAAGAAATAGTCCCTGACCTGAAAATGTTGGAATCTGGAAGGGGGCAAATTCTAAAAGAAAGGTCATACATAGTAAATATAAAAAGGAATTATAAACAAAGTGCTTACATATTCAAACCAAAAAGATAAGTTATAATTTCATTAAGAAAGGGACAACTGATATGAATCTTGAAAAATGGCTATGATTTTCACAAGCTGAGAAGTGGTAGAACGGGTATTAGTTGTGGTGGACAAAACATAAGTAAAGGTATGAAACTGTAAATGGTTGGGTTACATTCTGAAAACAGTACATTTTGACAGGAGCATAACGTGCAACTAGAAGATTATTAGGAGAAAGACTTTTAGAAAAGTAGGTTAGATTTTGCTGAGGTCTTAAAAGCTGATCGATGACCTTGCATATACTTAATTTAGAATGCTGTAAGACAATACAAAAGAGTTTTAAACAGGGAAGAGTATTTTCTACAGCAAAATAATAACTTTCTCAACTTTTATATTCTCCAGTTAAAGTGACAAATGCAAAAGTGATACTAGCATTTTTATTTTTTCAAATTTTTTAATGGAACGTTAATTTTTTAAAAGTTTGAACAGAAACAAAACCTAGTACTTACTGGCTCCAAATATTTGAGTTAAAATACTTTTCTGATGGCTACAGTCAATGTTGTAAGGGGTCTCTCCTGCTTTGTTGGGTCTATAAAGTAATCGTCCATCTTTTGGATTTCTTAAAAGAAGTTCTGCCAGTTTCCGACTCCTTCCACGGATAGCAATATGTAAAGGAGTATCTCCTTTCTGCCAAATAATGGGAGAAAACATAAACTTATATATTTTTTACATAGAGTATATACATACATATATGATACTATTTATATTTCAGGAAAATAGAAAAATTGAGCCTTTCATATTTCAGGGGTATATATGTAACATTACATACACATAATATTGATAGAGTACATACATTAATTTTTATCTCTCTCTCTCCCTACAATTTCTTTCTATAACTCCTTGTTTAGATTTTCTCTCATATTCCTCTAGAATAAAAGTCATTCTTCTCTCTGTGCCTCAACTCACTGAAAGAGATGAAGAAACAGGATTTCTAGAGACAAGTATTGATTTGGGTGAAGGGAAAGGTAATGTATCAAATATGAGTGATCAACACGGTAGCACTGAGGAAGAGGAAGACACAAAGGGTTCATGGGATGCACAGACAACAATGATGAACTCTTTTGCATGTACAGTGCTATACTGTCTGTGATGGCAAGCACTGATCTACAGGTGGATATATGGGTAGACAGGCTAAATGATCAGGTACATCTAGGCAGGGGGGCATGTGCCCATGACCATGTACAGGGTTAGCAGACAATATTTCTACATGTGTATTGGTATGTGCTGTAAAAATGTCCAGGTATATAGTAGAGCTGACAAGGGACAAGGTTGTGCTGGCTTCTTGGCCACAGCAAGCTATCCAGAGGGAGTGAGTAGTTGGACCTGTGGACTGAGGACCATGGTTGCAGGGGACATCAAGCTCAACTAGCATAACATACTACACAAAAACACTGTTCTACAGCCTACTTTGGTGAGTAGCGACTGGGATCTTTAAAGCTTGCAAGTGACCACCTAGATGCTACGGGTCTGTCCTCATCTAGAGCAAAGAAAAATGAAGAAAACCAAAGACACATGGAAGCAATTAGTCCAAGGGACTGGTACACCATGCAAGCCTCAGCCTATGTAACCATGAGACCAGAACAACTAGATGGTGCCTGGCTACGGCTGTCAACCACTCGGAGGGGGATCAATACAGGAGATCTTGGATAAAGCTGGAGAACAATGTGGATCTTACAAAAAAAAAAAAAAAAGGACTATGTTTGCTAGTCTGATGGAGCCTGGTGATACCCCTGAGGCTAAGGGCCCCACCTACCCTTCAGGTCTGGAATTGAACTCATTCCTGTGGCTTCCACCCAAACAACAGACAGGCATATGGGGTAAACACTTACATCAGGTAAATAACACTCCTTAGAGAGATCAATCAAGGGCAGTGTATGTGCAAGGAGACAACATGGGAGGTAGGAGTGCATGGGAGGGAAGGACACAGGGAAGAGGTAACCGTGGGGATGAAGTGGGAAGAGAGCTATTACACTGTGGGAAATTGCAGTCAATGTCATGAGACAAAATGTGTAATGATGTGCTGTATGGAAAATGAATTTTATCTGTAAACTTTCACCCAAATCACAATAAATTTTTTAAAAAAAAAAAAAAAAAGAAATAGGATTTCTTCTAACGGCCCCTCCCAGGATCTACTTTTATCATAGGTTGTTATCTAACCATCACCTAAACATTTATTATCCAAGGATGTAAACCATGTTCCTCAACTAATTTGTATTCTATTTCACAGCTTTCTTCTCAATTTTGTAGAAAGCTTCAAAATCTATGCTGATATTCCATCTAACACTAGTGATCTCCTCTATTTCTATGACTTTTGTTAATCATCCAACACTATGGTGTCTTTAAAACTTCATTATTCTACATTTTTACCTCTGAGTCCTTTATGTCATATTCATTGTTATCTTCCACTCTCTTCATCTTTCACTTTTTCCTCCTCATTCATCCTTCCTCACATCAATTACATCAACTGACCACATTAAAACTTATTTCCTCATTAGAATCTCTAGCCACTACAACTTGTTCTCCTCTCTTAATCTGTTGACCCCATCAGCTACCCCATACTATTCCCCAATAGGATGGAGTCCCTCCCCAAATCATCATCACATAGCTCTTCTATACTGCTGTCTAGCCCCTTTTTTCCTCCTTGTATTCATTTTCTCTGATCCTACTGCTAGACTGCAGAGCAGTGCTAAAGAAAATAATGATTCTATTATAAAATCAATTCATTCAGATTTGTTGAATCCTTGCATTCAATAAGTGGGAAAATGTTAGGAAAACAAAATTACAATTCAATACAGTAAGTGATATAAGAAAGGCTTGTATAATGTACTATCAGGATGCATGAACCAGAGTAATTCTGCCTGGAATTCTATATAAGTTATTTATAAACAGGTACAGTATTTTAACTATGTCTTAAAAAGTAAGCTGATTGGAAAGGGAAGGAGGAAAAAAATCCAGAAACAGAAAACAATATCTCAAAAACAGGGATAAAAGGAGGTGGTGTGTCTAAGAGCACACTAAATGTGCTCAATGTGGCCTGAAGTTCAATGTGACTGGAGTGCAGGGGTGCATGTAGGGAAAATGATAGCAAATGAAGATGGAAAGGTTAAGAGGCTAGACTGTAAGGTATCTTGCTTGCATCCATTCTAAGGAGATTGGAATTTATCTTGTAAAAATAATAATACTCATCAAAAGTTCTTTCAAGGTAAACAACATAATGTACTTCTTTCTTGGAAAAATAAATCTGAAGCATATTTAGAGGAGGAAAGAGACTTAAGATAGAGAGGTGAAGTAGGAAGCTGGCATTCCATCCAACCTCTGCTTTCTAAGGTTTTTATTATTTGTAGTTCCCTTCATTCATCTTATGTTAACTATACACAGTACATCATTATCCATTTCAAACTTTCTTTTTTCATACTGGGCTCTCCTCACTCTCCTCCCTACCACCTCACAACAAACATATATAGCCTGACCTCACATTTTATTCATCTCAAAAAGCTTTCCTCCTGAATGCCCCTCTCTTGCCAACATCATTCTTCCTTTCTGTTTCTTCATTCATCCCCAGTGTCCTTCTCTACTTTTTCCTTCCTATGTCAAAGAAACAACATGCAGTGTAGTAAATCACACAGTGTGGCTTTTCTAGCCATAAGTCTTTGTAAATTCCGTGGTGGAATTTGCCATAAGCAACCAAGTAGCTCCTGATTGTTAAAGTTATCCACCTGGGGTATTTCTGTTGGGAGCAGCACAAAGTAATTTTCTGGGAAGTTCACTCTCTCTCAAGTATATACAATTCTGATGTTGGGATTGGTTGGTTCAGCCTCAAAAGGAGCCCTCCTAGAGGCAGAAGAAGTCTCTGACTGCTGGCTGAGAAAGATGTGCTGCTGAGAGAAATGCACTCCTAAGAGACATGCTGCTGAGAAAGAGACACCTAGAGACACACACTGCTGGGAAAGAGACTGAGAAAGGCTGTCGGCCAAGAGACAGCGGGCTGAGAGACTGGGCATGTTTCTGAACTTGAATGGTAGCCTGGTGCTTCCCTAATAAACCCTATAATCTGTGAGTTCTGTGTGGCCACTGCAGCAAATTATCGAACCCAGCAGAGAGGTGGTGGGTGCTGCGGGAGGAAAGGCTGGTGTCGAGGTTGGCGAAAGGGTTGGAGGGAGGCAGCATGTCTGGCCTAGCAGGGATAGACCTTGGGCTACTAATGGTGATTCTATCTTCCTCTTATGGCATTAGAAGAGGTCAGAAGATGCAGCCTCTTGCCTCTTTAGCACAACCCCCATATATGGTCTTAATTCTGTCCTACTAAATCAACTCTTGTCCACCTAGCACCTTTGATCTCCGTTCTGGCTCATTCTAATGTCACAAAACATATTCCATCCTCTGATCTCAAAAAGCCTTTCTTTATAACTCACTATCCTATTAAACATATTAACGGAGAGGCCTGACGTAGGCAGGTCCAGGGCTTGGAGGCTGCTTTTCATTGAATGTGGCTCTATATTAAGGCAGGGATATGAGGTAGATAGGCAAGGGGCAAGGAGGCTGCTATTTGCTTGGGGCCTTTAGTAAGGCCGGGGACTGAGGTAGGTAAGTCTGGGGCTTGGAAGCTGCTTTTCACTTAGGTGTGGCTCCATATTAAGATTGGGGCCTGAGGTAGGCAGGTGCAGAGGGGGTTAGGAACAACTAAAGAATATGAACTTGTCTGTCACTTTGTCATTCTGTGGTGGCTTTTGTGTTGCTGTGAGGCTGGAGGCTATGCCACCATGTAGCAAAATGCCAACAGGATTACCCATAGTGGAGAGGTTTCAGTGGAACCTCTGGGCTTAGGCAGACTCAGAAGATGGAAGAGGCCTTCCACTTCTCAAAGAATTGGCCGGTGAAAACCTTATGAATAGCAGTTTAACACTGTCTGATATATTACTAGAAAACTTTATGAACAGCCCTAAAACACTGTCTGACATAGTGCCAGAAGATGAGCCCATCAGGTCTGAAGGCACTCAAACTTTAAGTGGGGAACAGCTGACTCCTCAGAATAGAGACGACCTTAACTATATGGATAAAGTTCTCAGGCTTTACTCAATGGAGATTGACTGATATGGCACAACACAAAATGAACAGAAACAAATGCAAACATCCATTAATAATTGGAATATGAAATGTATGAAATTCAAATCTAGAAAAATTGGAAGCTGTCAAAAATGAAATGGAATGCATAAAGATCAATATCCTATGCATTGTTGTTGTTGTTGTTATGTGTCTTTGAGTTGGACCCAATTCATAGCGACACCTCCTTGGGTTTCCAAGGCAGTATCACTATGGAAGTAGATTGTCTCATCTTCCTTCCGAGGAGTGGCTGGTGGGTTTGAACCGCCAGACTTCTGGTTAGCAGTCAAGTGCCTTAGGCACTACGCTACCAGAGCTCCCATCCTATGCATTGTGTTGTTGTTGTTGTTATGTGCCGTCGAGTCGACCCCGACTCATAGCGACCCCTCCTTGGGTTTCCAAGGCAGTATCACTACGGAAGTAGGATTGCCCAACCTTCCTTCCGAGGAGTGGATCCTATGCATTAGTGAGCTGAAATGGACTGGTTTTGGCAATTTTGAGTCAGACAACTGTATGATGTATTATGC